TGTAGTGGCAGCATGCACCATTGTGAGGTCAGAAAGATTTGACTCCTATATAAATTTGGCTCTTCTACTCACGTGTGGATATTTTTGTGTAGTGGCAGCATGCACCATTGTGAGGTCAGAAAGATTTGACTCCTATATAAATTTGGCTCTTCTACTCACGTGTGGATAGTTTTGTGGAGTGGCAGCATGCACCATTGTGAGGTCAGAAAGATTTGACTCCTATATAAATTTGGCTCTTCTACTCATGTGTGGATAGGATGATGTTGTGAACACATAAACAGGAGAACAGGATAATGTTAGACATGTGTGAGTAATATGCTTTTATACGTGTGACGTCATGATGCAATTATCCATGTGCTATGACATATTTGTAGATATGATGCTGCTATCCATAAGCTATTACCTAAGTGTAGATATGATGCTGCTATCCATATGCTGTGACCTATTTGTAAACACACTGCTAGTATCCATTTATGAGCTAGTTTGTGTTACAAATCAGTAGGAAATGTACTGTTACCATGTGTGGACACCATGTTATTACCCTGACATGAAGACGTAGTGACAATTTACTTATTAGTATGTGAGCAAAGCACTTCTACAAATTTGTTGACAGAATAATTATGCTAATTTATGAAGGGGATAATATTGATATTATATGGATAGTATACTTTTTCGTATAGATGTGTTAACAGACTGTTCGAACAAGTTACATCTACCCAACTCTGCACATGATAGTTTGACCCAAGTGTTAAATATATATATACTTTATATAGAGCAGCTCTTATATGATAAACATTAGATGAACTCAACAGTTGAAAGTGAGGTAAAACAGTTACTTTCTATAGAACTCAGTTATTGAAGAATCTATTGGGTTAAAAGAAATTGTTGACCTATAAAGGTGGTAATATACAAAACAATATTTATCCAATCTTCTCGTCACACACACACATAAGTATCTACTTTTAACGAAATGTTACTTTGTAGAGTTTTCATACTTACAATGGGAGTGACTATAAATAAAGAAACAAAGTTTTTTCTCATTTATAGACCAATTAACATAAAAATAGGCGCTTTCAAAGTGCTAATTCTATAGGATAACGAAACCGGCGCTTTCAAAGTGTTAACTCCGTTTAACCGTTAAAACCGTTTCCTATTCACCTTTCATAACCTATTATTCTACCGAAATTCAAATACATAAAGTATATGATATAATTAAAATCTGAAACTTAAAAATTGGTTTTAAAGGATAAACGGACATCAAGTTAAGATTTTAAGTTTAAAGTGCCTAATTTATCTATACACTACTTAATTATACCTAACTACTTGATTTCTGAACTCCTACCACAGTTTTCATAAAATGACTTGAAATTGCACATAGAGGCTTTTGGCTTCTACAATATATGCTAATATTTTTTTGCAAGATTCGTGAAGTAACAACAAAAGTGGGATTGGACAGGAAGGGAGGGTGATCGTTGGATCTTTTTAGATTGTCAGGTTTGGTTGAATCGAATAATCTGAAAATTGCTATTAATATGGAAAGAACCATTCTAAACAATAATCTAAGTATAGATGTTAGATATTTTCAATTATTAGCGTCATATGGCAATCAAATAGATTTTGAAAGCTCTCAGGACTGGAACGATAGACTTATTTGAGTATTGGTATTAACACGCAAACGATTGTTAAAATAAAAATCTACGTTTATATATATTTTTAAATGTCTTATTGAACCCCTCTAATTGTAACCAATGGGGCTTTTGAGGGGACTTCAGGGCTGGTTTGAGAATTTTCAGGGGTAATTTACTAGTATATAAATATATATATATTTATATAAAAATTACTTGATAACAAATAAAATCCAAAAAATATTAACGCTAAGTTCACTTTTTATATCTTGTGTTCTTTTATCGTTTTTTTTAACTTTTCTGTATTAAATATTTTCCACATTTCAATTCTTTCTGAAAATCGTTTTATTTACCCGGAAAAAATAGAGAGGAAAATACAAAAACTGAGGCTCTCTTATGTTGTTAAACAAACTTTTGCTGCATTCACTATTTAAAACCTGCATTTATTTTTATTTCTGTTTATTGTTTGCTTACATGGTTTGGAATGTTTTGAGTTATACACTTACAACTTTTTAGATTCGTATTTCTAGCATGTTCATCTTTAACTTGTTTTACTAAAAATAAATTACTTCATTGTTATAAAAGTTTTTATAAGTAAAGAGACTATATACAAATTGATTTTTTTTTCTTGCCGTCATCTTAGATGCTTTCTTTTGGGCTGGGTCTACTGATAGGCCTGATCCTACTGGTTTTATCATACCGGATGAAAATGGCCTGTAAGTTTGGTTTTAAATTGATTGTATTCTTGTGCTTTTTAAGTATTTGGTTATCATGATAATATAGTACATTATGACCGATAAGCATATTCTTAAAATAATAAACTTTTTTTCATGACGTTAAGAATAGTAAATGTGCATACAATATGCAAAAATGTATAGAATTAGAGTTTAAAATATAATAAAGTGCAGTTTTAAATTTGTAGTTCAACAGATGTTGAAATTTCACATTATACAGTACAAATATATTTAAATAAACACAGATTATATTAAATAAGATGAAATTTTAGTAGGAATAAACTTGATAAAGTTAAACTAGATGAGATTAAAAGATAGATTAAAATTATTTAGGACTATATCTTTTAGGATTAAACTGATAAGGTTAAATTAGGTAGGATTAAATTAGATGAGATTAATAAGATCGGGCTAAGATGGACAGGATTGAGGTAAGTTAGGCTCAAGTTATTAAACTAATGAGACTAAAATGGATAGGATTAAACTAGATACAATTAGCCTTTCGAGGATTACAATAGAGGCGATTAAACTTGAAGAAATTAGATAGGATTAAATAAGATGAAACTAGAATGTATTAAGGTAGATTGGACTGAAATATACAGAATTAAATAAGATGGTTGTGTTTTTAAACATTCTGGGGTAGCATATAATATAAAATGACCAAGCAGTTGTTTAATACTATTACATACAATTCGTTAGTAAATGTAACTTTGCCCTTTGAAAATGATACTGGGACAGATTTCTTTTTAATGATCTATCTGCTCCCCAGTGGCACAGCGGTATGTCTGCGGACTTACAACGCTAGAATCCGGGTTTCGATACCCGTGGTGGGCAGAGCACAGATAGCCCATTGTGTAGCTTTGTGCTTAATTACAACTAAACAAACTAATGATCTATCTACCTATTTTCTTGTCTGCTTGTAGGATTAGCACCCTAGCGTATGAATGCTTAAAAGTGTCAAGGTTTGCCTGAAATGCATACACAGAGTTAAAACGTGATCACCCTTCTTTTAAGTTAAATAGATGTGGGGATTTTTATTGTACAGCTAAACATTTATTTAACCTGCTATGAATCCAGAGTTCTTTATTGAGCCGTATATCTGACCGTCTAGCCTCAACTTCTAATTCGTCTTGGTAGATAGAATGGGCTTCATGTTCGTGACGTCATCACTCCTTATACTCAATGTATTGATTAATTATGACTGTTTGTTAAAGAAGTAACGTAACGTTTTAACAATTTGTTTTTACATTCCACACATCTATCAGTCACAAGTTTCATCTGTATTTGTATTCATTTATCAACCACTCACTTTCCATTTCTTCTCTGAATCAATTTATCTGTTACAATAATTTTCTTTAGCACATATAGAAATATCGCTTATCGACCCGTCTGTCCCTCCAACTTCTAAAGTTAGCAGTTTCTAATACTTCTGTATTTTAATTACTTATTTTCTACGCTCACATAATGTTATGTATGAGTCTGTAAAATATTCTCAAATAGACCTCAGTGCGTTTAGGATCAACTATACAAACTATAGACCTCCAACATTCTTACCAGTCAAAGCAACCACCTTCTTGTCTTTTCAAACGTCCGAATTACAATAAAAGCAACGAATTACTTTAATTTTGAAAATTAGTTTTTGCTGGTTTTTTTTTCTAGAAAAAATAATTCAATGAAAGTCTTGAGCATCCTTAGAATAATAGGTGTAACGTTTTCAACTAAATGCGATTGAAAAGTACCAGGACTTATATGAATTACATTACTTTATACAGAAATAACTATAAGTCCTCTAACCGGTTACTACGTATATGGAAATGTTGAAAGAAACAAGAAAAATGTAACATTCTTATCCAGCGTGCTCTGCAAGCAATGCAAAATATACAAACTTTATAGTTAATGAAGATGTCGTTTACCCAGCAGTACACATTGTTGCTTCCAATAACAATCACCAGTATTTCCACGAGGTATCCTGCTTTACTCTTACGTATATAGATAGGATTTACTTACAAGAACAATGTTCCAGGTCATATCTTGTTTTTGGACCAGTTCTTCCTTCAGTTCGTACAGATAACCATGATCGCCCATTTTCATCAGACAGCACATCTGTCACTGTAACACGTTTTTGCTAAGGGCAGCGAGACCAGAAACCTTCTGAAGACCATCCACTGTAAATGTTGACTATAGTACATATGTCCATTTGAGCTGCAATGGTAGGCTTGGCATGGCTGTGGTCAAATGGAATTGCTATTTCTTATGAGAACAGCTGTTGATTCCGAGCAGTCTTATTAATGTGGTTATATTTCGTGACCAACTTTCAGTTTACAAACGGCTTGTTTTGTCTTTTCGGAGTCTGTTGGGGTCATAAACGTTTTGATGGGGAGTCTTTCCGTCTACATGGAGGATCTTAAAGGTTCTTTTCTTTGAACTATTGTGTCTTTTGCCTCTATATCGTTTAATAATTTTTTGCACTGCAAATATTCTTGGTCGAGACGCTATTTGTATCATCAATTGTTTGACAATAGTTGTTTCAATACGAACTAGATTAAGCAGGTAAACTGTAATTTTTATCAATTTATTTATGTCATTACACATCAGAATTAGGTTTACGATTTTTAACGTCAAATTATTATTCATTTTCACATCAAATTATTTATTATTAATATTATATATTTATTTATTTTGCTTCAAAATTGATTTTACTCATAATCCAGAAGAACTAGTGAACCATTAAACTGATCTTGTCGCCCATACCGTCACGACGCACACCTACAGCGACAAATAATTGCGTCTTCATGCGTAAAACATTTTTATAAAGTGAGATTAACATTCTGTTATTGTCTTGTCTCAGCTTACATATCCTATACCGACCATATCTCATATTTCAAATTCCTGCCCTGACCAATTATGCTGGTCCCTGGCGAAACAGCGATAAGTCTACGGACTTACATTGGTAAAATCCGGGGCTCGATTCCCCGCGGTGAACACAGCATATAGCCGAATTTGGCATTGTTTAAACAAAAAAAAAAAGCTATTAAGCTCCTATTTTATTCACTTTCTAATCTTACATTATTAAACTCCTATTCTGTTTATTTTCTTATTTTATATCATTAAACTCCAATTCATATCTTACAGTATCAAACTCCCATACTGTCCATTTTTTTATCTTCTAATATCAAACTAATATATTTAAATAAGCACAATTTTGAACTTAAAACTGCACGTCGTTTGTGTTGTAAGAAAACACAAAAAAACTTCTGTGCTTATATCGTTACAATAGTCAGTTGTGTTAGATCACACAAGTCTGTCTATTGGAACACAATTTGTATTGTTGTGGAAAAACACCCTTTCGGGTTAATTTACAACACAATTTTATATAATGTATATTATATTATTATTATATTATATTATAATGTATATTATTCATGATAAATTTATTTTCCTATAATTAAAATGCCTTCCAGTGGCTCAGCGGCAAGTCTTTGAACTTACAGCGTTAAAAATTGGGTTTCGATACTCTTAGTGGGCAGAGCACAGATAGGCCATTGCTTATCTTTGTGCTTAACTACAAACCAACAAACTTGTATTATCAAATATATTATTTCCTATGTTGTCCATTTCTTTATTTTATGCTATTTTATCACCATTTCTTCCCCCCTTTTATTTTCTTAAGTTATGATTATAGTTACACACTAGAGGTAGTTTTAGCATCGACAAAAGCACAAGCTCTACTCTCTCAAATTACGGAGTCTTACTGTTGCAACGTGTTTATCAGTGCGCTGTATAAGTAACGTGCCGACGTTCCTAATTTCGAACCACCAACCACAGGGAGTCAGCAGCAAAGTCCTGCTGTTATTTATGTCATTTGTTAGTTAATTTATTTGATTATTTATTATTTTTATTGTGTATAATTTAGTGCGCCAAGTTCCCAATGTAAATAAGAGGGGACTGGCTTTTAATATGAAGACGTGAAGATCTAACTTGCTTATCTCTGTTCGACTCTATAGCAACAGAGCAAACAAATGCAAGCCCAGCTTAGTATCAATAACATCATGGTACATAATTGCACAAACTAAGCAAATAACTCGATATTTTAAGAAGATTTATAGAAAAAAATAAGAATAATATTAATATTTTTGACTACACTGTGTCGTTAAGAACAAAAGCTATAAATTCTTAACTAGCTAATCGCTTCTTATATTTTTAATATAATTTAATATGATGCAGTGTTTTGTGAAGCTAAAGGTTTTGTTTAATAGTAGTAGGGCCCTGCACTGTTTCTCTTCCCAGATATTAACTCCTTAACTGTTAATGCAATGATCACTGCATCTTATTTCAGTTACCGCTTACTGTTTAAAGAATAAATATTAACATAAATATACCAGTTTCAACTATTTCTTTAATACATATTCATGACTATTTCTAAAGTAGGTTTATGGGCGTCACCAGGGGAAGGTGCGAACGAACCGATCTCTTAGTCCACAAATATATATTAATTCAATGAAGGCTGCGGTTCTTTTCTCACACTTACTACATGCTCCCAGCCAGTTCGATAACGAACTATACGATGATTAAACTGGAATGACAATATCTTCCTTTTATTGTATAAGCAAGAGCAAAATAAGCATTAAAAAGGTTTTACACACTAATCCTTGTGGCGTATACATAAACTTCAACTAATCAATGATTAGGTAGTATCATCAACTTTATTTTTACAGCTTGCATGAATATTTATTTCAACATAACTCGTGCAGTTTTTTATACACATGTACACATATCTATAAGAAAGATGCAACATAAACAGAAATGAATTACATTAAACACATGCCGGCGATGCACATGCTAATTCGGTTTTATTCTCATAACTAGTGTCAGCGTCAAGAAAGTACTCTATGTTCTTTAGCTGAATTTCGTGCAAAGTTACTTGATGGCTATCTGCGTTAGCCGTCTGTAATTTAGCAGTGATAGACTAGAGGGAAGGCAGATAATCAGCACCACTCACCGCCAACTCTTGGACTACTGTAATCGAATAGTGAGATTTACCGAAACATTATCATGCCCTCACGGCTGAAAGGGCGAATATGTTCTGTGATGGGATACGGACCTGGGCTAGGAACGGACGTGCTAAGTTTTTACTAGCTGATGAATGATACTGTGCAAGTTTTTATATCGACTGTCAATATTTAAGTGTTTATTCATGTATATATATTTCACGATACGAAAGGAAACACATACACGGCGATTATAAAGCACGCCTCATGTTAAAAATGATTATACCTTAAAACGTTTTTCCCTAGCGGAAGAACATTAAGAAGCATAGACATTATCCAGTGAAGTTTGATATGGTACAAAGTATTACAAAACCACACTATGTTCTATGTCTTTCTCTCTCTCTCTCTCAACACGATTCCCGGTGGCTCAGCGGTAAGCTTTTCGGTTTATAATGGTGAAATTCGAGGTTCGATACCCAGTGGGCATAGCTTAGACGGCCATTTGTGTAGCTTTGCGCTTAAACGAAACATAGAGACAAACTATTTCAATTGGTGATGTATAGAAAAATAAAAAAGTGACCATGAGTATCCAGGTTCCCGCGACTCTGCTCTTAAAACAACAAAACTGTTCCACTTGTCCATGGGAGTCCATTAAAGAGTATATCTATAGTAATAACCCACAAAATATGAAGTATCTGGACACCGCCATTAGAAATAAGTAACATTATCCAGAACAGGGGAATCTTGCAGTAGGTTTACTTAGAAATAGCTAGCCGCATGATACGGTGTGATATCTTTCGGAAACATGCCAAAACTACCCTCATAAAACTTACGTCTCAATAAGCTATTGATGAAACTTTATTCCCCTAGAACAAGTATGTTTTAAGATATAACCGTTTATAATATGGGATTTTTTCCATAACGGTCTTATAGAATTTATCACTTTAACGTAAGAATATGCTATTCACATATGTAAACAAGGCTGAAGAATGGGCTTACTTTGGTTTGGAAGAAAGTGACATGTATGATGATGAACAATTAAGAGCAAGGCTTTGTACAGATGATAAAAACTACAATTATCTGTAATTATTTATAGACTTACCTAGCAAACATTTTAATTGCTATATTGTAAAAACGTAATAATTTGTAACTCTTTGGCCATACGGAATAAATAGCGGGATAATCATGGACAATATGGTGAGTATTATGGTTTAAGAGTTAATAGTTATGACTTTGTTAGTTTTAAATAGAATGGGTTGTGTACGCTGTGCCCACCACGGTGATTGAGATCTACTTGTGTGTTCATGTTATAAGCCTTAGAGTTAGAGCTAACCGTGGGTACACCGGGATAATTACTGACATATAGCCAGTTATATAAAAGTTGTAAACGTACTCATATACCTCTTGTGTTTTGTAGTTCTTAAGCTTTTACTTTCAAAGATAATTACATTAATACATTTATATTCCAGCATACAACCTCTTAAGGCCTATAGTAATCAAAACCTGGTTCTAAAACTTCCTGATGGGAAAACTCTGAAGGATATTCGTTGGCTGGCCGTTTGGTGCAGGAAGTTTAGAGTAAGTTTGGTAAAAAGTAAAAAATCATGACTACCAATATTTTCTAGCAACATAATTTCTACTTTCTACTTCTCAGCTGGTTAAGCAAAGCAACTGTTTCAATCCTTGACTAAGTTTACAGATATCTACTAGTTGTTTAAGTTTAGCCCGTAGAAGCTTCAAATACTATTAAACCATTTTAATGCTACACACCTGTCAGAGATAACGAATATGAAAACAATACAGTGTAGAAAAACAACACAACCCTCTAGGAATGCTGTAACTATTTTGTATAATTCTACTGAAAACGTCAGTAAAACAACAACACAACCTTATAGCAATACTGTAAAAGGAATCCTGGAACAAAGATGTCAGCAGCTAATCGAGTGGTAATTTTAATCAAAGAAAAAATCAACCAGTTTAAACAGAAAGAAGATTAATTAAAGTAAACAAAGGTTACCTCAAACACTGGATGTTTTATTTCTATACACATCAAAGCATATAACATGCAGAAGGAAGAGAAACACATCGCTTTAGTATAGCCCCGCGTTAAGTAACATTAATGCTGACTGTTGTTTGTTGTTAGTTTCATAAAATAAAGCTATTTAAGTTGAGCTTTTTTAAAGTTTGACATGTGTTACTTATCATACAGGGATCTTTGATGTATACTTTTTGAAAGAGTGAAAGTTTCACTCAGTAGCTCTTAGGTGTAGTTTACTTCCCCTCAATCTTTGAAGTTAAACAATATAAAACATTGTATGTACGTATAAAGAAAAAAAAAACTAGGACAGAAATCAAAGGACAAAAGAAGTTGTCTAGAAAGAACAAATAAAACTAGGACACAACGAACATATCTTACACGAACTAGCCCTGCCTACTAGAGCTTGCTCGAGAGCTAAACAATATCAGAGGTGATGTTATAATGAAAGAGCTGCACCGACAACCACACACCTAAAAGCTTATAAAACACTATCTTACTTCGACTCGTGAGCTGCCCAAATCCGCGGTCATGGTTTGGTTTTGTGTAAAATATCACCAGATAAGTTTCTAAACCTGCGAGTCGCTTGAGATAACGTTCACAACTTACGCGTTTTGAAATGTTTCTATACAATTCATGCATTTATCATTATCACTTATGAACTAAATTAAAAGTAAATAGATATCATAAGTAAGATAATATAAATCGAAGATATGAAAGATATTGTAAATAGTTCCAATATAAACAAATTACACACAAAATAGAAACAGATATTACAAACAGAGCAGGAGGAAGATATTATATAAAAACAAAAGAGGTATTAGATAATATTTACAGAATAGATGTAATACATTATAAACAAAACAGAGGTAAAAATATTGTAAAGAGAAGCGAAGTAAGATAAAAAAGGAATCATAAGTAAGCTGAACAAAACTGAAGTAAGATCTCCTAACCAGAATATAAGTAAGCTGAACAAAACTGAAGTAAGATATCTTCACCAGAATATGTTAGCTGAACAAAACTGAAGTAAGATATCGTAACCAGAACATAAATAAGTAAGCTGAATAAAACTGAAGTAAGATATGTTAAATAAAATATTAAGAAACACACGGGTAAGAGTGAATATAAGGATAGAAATATTATCTTATTAAGTATGGTTTATGGATGTGCAATTATTATTGCTTTAAGATAACAGCGTATTTTGTTCTTGTTTTCATTACGTAGGCTAACTTTGGAGATATCTACGTGGACAGCAAAACTGAACTTCCCAAGTCAGCTAAGATTGGCCCCTTGACTCATACAGCACATGGAGTATCATCTGAGCCAATAATGGTCATGGACGCCCAAACCTTCATTGTTCCTAACTTTAAATACGACGGACAGGGACCTGGTAGGCAACTATATAGATCTGGGAAAGGGGTCGAAAGGTCGCTAGGTTACAATCAACAACTTCATACCGTGCCCTTTCCTGACAATCGTTATCCCCCCAACCTAAGTCAAACCTCATTTCGAGGTTACCGTGGAAACAGTCGAGCTACTAATTTCACCTACACTTCCTTCAAACCCCAGCAATATAATTAAAACACATGCAAACGCCGAAGTTCACTGGTTATATGCTCTTGATAACAATTTTGAGATTGTATGTGTCCATATCTCTAAAATTGAAAATACCGGAAATTAGGACTCCCATTTATACAATATTCCCCACTCTACTGATCGAGTTTAACAAACACAAGAAAGGGTTTTTTTTAACAACAACGACAACAACAAAAAAAAGCATTACAGCTACTAAAGATTCGATGCAAAGATTTGAAATTCTCACATTTATACTAACTATATGCTGAAACTCTCACATTTTATACTAACTATGTACAAAGTGCATGTTTTCATGTTTTAAGTGCATGTTTACTTGAAAGTTGAAACAGCTCTTTCATATAAGCTCTTCTAGTGTACATAAATAAATGTTAGCATTAAAAGATAGTTTTCTGAAATATACACTAGCTAACAAAGGTACTCTTAAAATAAATCATCGACTTAAAATATCACAAAATCTGGTAATTTAAAGAGTTACTATGACCAATGAAAATAAATTACTCAGATAAAATACATGCTCATTGAAAACATCGAATAATTCAACATATTTAACTGTTTCCAATTAACGAAATTTCGCGATTATTGAAGTTTTATTTTTACTTAAAGATATTTTGACACTGTTTCTCATGGACTCACTCGTACAAATAATTTATTTTCTTGCAAATTTTCCGTGTTTTATTATATTATGTTTCCTTTTCATACACATTCTCCACATTTTACCTGTTCCCCGAATTTTGATCTTTAACATGGACACACATTCCTATACACACATTCTTTTAAAAGTTCCCCACATTTCGTTATTGCACATGGACATATGTAGACTTGTTTCCTTTTCTTACACATTTTCTGTCTTTCACAGGGAGACTTACTCAAACATTTCCTTCTCTTACACATCCTTCGAATTTTGTTATTTCATATGAACACACAAAACAAATGTCTCATTACCATTAACACCATGGGAATTTCAGAACTAAACTATATATGTCTTTAATACAATATGATATCAGATTTATTTGTAAAGTAAATAATAATGTTTTAAAACGACTTTTCTTAAAAGTATAATGGATGTTTGTAATCAAATTATGTTTTTAAAAGGTAGGTGAATTTACGAAAAAACAATTCAGCCGGAGCAATATACACGTTACAAAAAGAAGGAAGTGGTGCCTCGTGAAAGCTCCTGCATGATGTTGTGGTTTTTCAGCTTTATTTTTATGAATCAGTACAAGACGTTGATATTATTGCCAGCTCATGATGATTTACATTGGAAAAAAACATAACTAGATATTTTGTTTTACCTTTACAATTTTCATTGTTTTTATTTATCTTAGTAAGCACTAGCTACGTAAAAAAATATATCTTTAATAGTTATATATCCGAATTTTTATAAAAACACACGTTTTTGTTAAAAATATCCTTCCTCAAAGCTTTTGTTTCATTATTAATCCAAGTAGATAACCTGAAAAAAAACATACATTTTTAATTAGAATTAAAACATGTTGAATATAAAATAAATGAAAGAGCTTTCACATTGAATGTGGACTGTTGAAAAGAAACAACCATCAATGAGGACCTTCTAACAATTTGTGAATATGTGTACACACATTAAAGGTCGAAGTATGAAACAGAATACAGATAACAGTCATATACATACGAGTGTTAGAAGTTGCACGTGAAATCACAGTTAGAATTCAAATAGTACAGCAGAATGTTCTCTCGCTTTTCTAACGACGACAATAAAACACCAGAGCGGGCAAAACTTTCAACAGAAGTGAGTCATTTAAACACAAGCTACAGGGTAACATTATCACCTTACAAAAAATAGAGAGCAACATTTGATTTTGATAGATTAGATTAGACATGAGGTACATTTCCCAGTTATTGGTTTACAGTTTGTAACTCTCAGGTTCTTTTAAAGGAGGCTGTGGATCAGATTGTTAGTGGAAGTAATTATTTACAATATTTCCAGAATCTCGAATTATTTGTATCAGGGTAAAGAGATTTAAACCTCATATCCCTTTTAGCAACTTTTCAATAAAGAGTGCGTTGTCTTTTATAGAGCATTCGTTTCACAAAACTGTAGGCATACAGAAATTTGTATTTCTATTCTTACTTCGGGTTTTGTTATTTTTCACCAAATGTTACATATAATTCGGAATAATCGAAGAATGAAAGGACCAAATTTTCCAACCGTTCTTGCAGGGTTTCCATCTCTCAGTCTGTGAGCAAAGTAAAAAAATAACACGTGTGAATTTCTGTATTGAGTTCTTGCAGGGTTTCCATCTCTCAGTCTGTGAGCAAAGTAAAAACAAAACAGAAATTCACACGTGTTACATTGAATGGATTGTCAGGATTTGTCCCCACAGCAAGACTTCATTTCGATTACACCATTTTAAGACCAGAAATTAATAGTCTTAAAAATTATCCTTGAAGTCTCTTCCCTGAAATAATTAATAAATACTGAATATTTATTTACGTTTTTATTTTTTACCTTTAGTTTTATATTGCGAAAAAAAAATCGCTCACTACATTAATCACAAGTGAAAATCTTTATATTCAAATAACCATTTTTTATTACTTCAGTCGCAAAGGTATGCTCATAGTTCGCATGGTAATTTTTAACTGGTATAGCACGAATGTTTTCACAGTTTGTTACTGCAGTCTATATAATCTTTACCCTACAAACTTCTCACATTAGCAGCTTTATTTATTAAAGGACTAGAAACACCATGATACTTAATAAAGCAGCAGTTTCCAAACCGCAGGTCAGTATACAGTAAAATATAAACTTTTTTATTTATAAAAAGTAATCGTAGAATGTTTTAAGCAAAATTCCCCCAGCTGAATAAGGGTCCCAGATCATTGAAGTCGTGAGTCAGGAGTACCTGCTATAAACAACCCCTTGTTTCCAACCCGATATCCATATATAAATAAGGTTGTTGGCATTTTGGCAGGTGTTTTTAACGTCTTTATACATAATCCATTGAATTAAAATGTCAATAGAGAAAATATCATTAACATAAAAATATTGTGTGAGATAAGCTAAGAATATTGCAACGGGCTTTTGCGAAATTTTACTTATATTGGTTTTTATTGATTGACTAAATTTTCTATTCACATTTTTTATGTCTAGTTAAGAATTAATTGAAGTCTACATATGCACAATAATATAATTAAAAAGTGTGCTTTTATTATTACTGTGTGATGTCATTTCAAAAGTAATAATATTGATTGCTTAGAGAAAATAGAATCTAATTGTCCAAGTTTAGTTTTTACGTAATTTAATAAGCACTTGCTAGTATTAAATATCTTTCATTCTGCAAGATCAATTATTTTGACTGATAGATTTTAAGAAACTAAGTATCTTTAAAATTATGATGCTCCTCTTCACGGAATTCTATTCATTACAATAATAATGAATACATAAACTAAAACATTCATTACAAATTCTAAAATCGGTACGTTAAAATGAATTAGATATTTTGCAAGTTGTAATAATGGCATACTTTTAAACTTTTCTATTACATAACTGATCAGCATCTCTCTTATTTCTCGCTTCAAAAATAGATTTTTATATCAACTTGATTTTTTAGTGTATTGGTTGAAGCGACCACATTTGTCATTATATACTGCCTCTCAGCGGCACAACGACGTGTCTGCGGATTTACAACACTAGGAACCGGGTTTAGATACCTGTGGTGGGCAGAGCACAGATAGCAAATTGTGTAGCTTTGTGCTTAATTAAAAAACAAATAAAACATTGCATACTTAAGATTCTCAACAGCTATAAATCCTTCAGCAAAAATAACAAATTGATTCTGGCATTATTCTTCATCCAAGTATCGTAAAATTGAACACGTGTTGCTATGGAAACCAGGATTATATGATCATACAATTCTTGAGAAATAAAACCTCAGTTTTCAGTCTGTACTATTCAGTATTTCCTAAAAAAATCTGTTTAACAACTGTCTGAAGTGTTAATTGTTTAATCCAAAAACTTTTCGTTTAAAGATGAATGCTACTTTTAAGTATTTCATAGTTTAGAAACAACGCAGCTAAATTTATATAAGTAGATTTTATTAATAAAATAAAACAAAATCGTATGAACGTTTTTGGAATGAGGTGTAATCGCTATATCCAAGGGTGCAAAGTTCTGTAAAATTAGATTTTTGAGTGAATTTGTATGTGGCTAAATTTAGGTTGTGATTATATGGTGCGCTGCACACAGAATAGTGTTTTTTTACTAATTTTAAGTAATTTTGAATCTGAATTTGAAAAGATAAAAACAAATCTGCATGCATATATTTATAAGTAATATTTGGAAGACAATTCAGAAAATTGTAATTAGAATGCGTTACCACTCACTCCATGGCATCAAGGTTTAACAGTAAAAAAAAAGTATAAAGTAGTGTAGAAAATTAACTGTTCGTTTAGTTTCCTGATCTCTTCCAAGTAGCCAAAAGATAAACTGAACTTACTTAAACACCGTTAGACGGTGTTAGAAGTTCTCTATTGTAGAGGGCGCAACGTTTTGTTAATTTGTGTACGGTTTTTGCTTTTTTTTTTAAGTTCAATTTTGTTATGCTATTGCTCTCTTTCCTGTGATCGTTGTTTGTCAAAGTTTTAGTCATTCCAAATCAAATTATTACATTGTTGTTATAACTTTGAAAATGATAACGCGCCTTTATTGTATTCGTTATGTTTATACATTGTTAGTGAACTATCTTGATTTTTTGTTATTCATATTGTTGGTTTGAGATTGAAGCTTTAGAACAGAAGTATTTTGTTTTTGGTGGCAGACCTATTCCATGTTTTTGTTCTTGTAATTCAGAAAATATTTTAGTGTGTTTTGACAAATAACAATATTATATATAAACATATATAGTACGTAAATAGTTTTTTGCTTTCTATTTACAATTTCTTGAGTACTGACATTTGTAATATGAATTATTTTGAAAAAAATGTTTACAGTATCAATGAAAAACACCAACATCAAGATGTAAAGACATTAAAAAGAAAATAAAGATATATTGAATTCAATATTTTCTAACCTTCATTTAAAATAACCATATAAATGATGAGTGAACGTCATCAGAAAATAATGACATTTTTAGACACATTCAAAAGTCATGCTTGAACTTGCAGCAACAACAAGTATTTTACATACAGTGTGTATACATGACCTCCAGGTTTGACATAATGTTGTTGAATCTATATCTAGTATCTTTTTGAGACTCATTAAGGTAATTGAAACATACGTATATAATTAACACACAAATAAAACAAAAAACAATTCTGATAGGAAGTGACCTATAAACTTAGATGGTAGATGATGCTAAATAGATACACCATGGGTTGCATTGACAATTACGTTACGTTACCTCATAGTTAATATTTTATTATCTTGATATTGAGATTAAATCTATTTTGGTTGGTTTGTCTTTTCAGCCGCCTATTGGTGGGTTTCAAGTGGATCTCAACAAAACGGTCTCGGAACTCAACTTACAGATGAAAAAAACAGGCAAGACGACGCAAGTTCCTTACTTTGTTAGCTTAATAATGGGTCAAATGTATAAAGATCTTAACTGTCCTGATTTTTGTTATAAGACCCTCGCTATAGCTACTATATTAATGGCACAAGTGACATAGTTACAGATCATTCCCCATCCTCATTATCGAACCACGTGCTGCGGGTCAGCTAAGAATATGTATGAATATATTGTTTTTGAAAGTAAACACGTGTGTTTTAGTAATATGGAACTGTTTTGTTAAGGATAGATATCCTCGATGTAAATAAGTTTAGTGAACTAGAGTAACTCCACAGAAAGGAAATTTTCCAGCACTGACCATATATAAAATTAGAAGTAGTTCAGATGAATAACAAACAGTCCATCTGAGTTGCATCTTAAATATAAGTTGAGTAAACTAAGAAAAAGTAACGAATAATCTCATTCAGTGCGATGTACTCTATCTCGGCTTTTGCACAAACAGTTTTAACTACGACACGATTAACTTCCTAGTGGCACAGCGGCAAATATGTGGACTTATAACGCTAGAAACCGGTTTTCGATACTCGTGGTGGGGAGAGCACAGATAGCCTATTGTGCAGCTTTGTGTTTAACTAAAAAAAAACAACAAAAAAAACAAAAAACAACCAGGAACATCATCATATACGAATATTAGATAATAATGTAACCTACACCTAGACGTGTAAACTATGATCTCAAACTGAAAACTACTTGAACCGCAAAGGGCAATTTTATGTGTGCAGCCATTAATACTACATCGAACAGTGTCATTTTACATGGTTTTCATAGCTTTTTTAAAATTTAAAACGCCGTTCAGTGATACTATTTTGATACTGTTTGGATAAAGGCTAGAATGCATCAGCTGAACACCGCCTGTTTCCTCAGTGTTTAATGATATTATGTTAATACTGTTTGAATAAATGTCATATCATATCAGCTGAACACCCCCTGTTTCCTCAGTGTTTAATGATACTATGTTAATACTGTTTGGATAAATGCCATATAATATCAGCTGAACACCCCCTGTTTCCTCAGTGTTTAATGATACTATGTTACCACTTTTTGGATAAATGCCATATAATATGAGCTGAACACCCCCTGTTTCCTTAGTGTTTTTCGGTCATTTGATAAGTTACTGATTGTGTAAGAAGTTCACGTGGTTGGAAATGTTGCTTTTAATTACATAAACAAACATTGATATGAAAATTGAACTAATACATAATAGGTAAATTAGTAAACGAAATAATTAAATCAGTCATTCCAAGCTATTAGCCCTCTAGAAATTTCCATAGGAATTGAAGTAGTGACTTGAACATATGATTGTCTCTGTGTTTTTAAGGAATAGTTTCGTTTTTGTGACCACGAGTAAGAGATTTAGTATATAGTTAAATAACATGAATCACGTTAACGGAGAAAATATTGTCCATTAACGTTGATTAGAAGCGGTAAAGAAAGAAACCTTTTGTAATTCAGTCTAGATAGAAATAGAGACAGACGTGAGGATTCAATGTTCTCAAACTTTGAAATAACTAACTTCGCTAATGTAGACGTACGGTGCTGAAGTAAAGTTTAGTTATTAATAGAGAAAATAACATCTCTACGTAATTTATAAACTTATAGCTTTAATCTGTTTTAATTAGTATTCCTGTTTATACCGAATAGCTACTAATACAGTTGTTTTTATTTTGTTGGACATTAATCCAAGTACTTGCGGTAAGGCAGGGGCAAACGAAATGCAACAGCTGCCACCAGCTTCTATGATCGCCTTTTTCATTACTCATTTGTTACCTTCCAGCTTTTAGGCTTCGAATTTGCTGCCATCTACAGGCAAGTTCTGAGATGAAATTTAGGAATCGTCAGTTCAAATACAAGACCCGAAAATATGACAGGATTTAATAATATCGTAATTACGAAATGTGTAATAAAAGTAAGATGGGTGCAGAGCACTATTCGATCTAGAGGTTTAACCAGAGAAACAGAAAGTACCCAAAACCTAACTTGGGATGATACTGAAGTTAAGAAAAAATATTAAACCTGTGAAGTATAACCAGAGAAACAGAAAGTACCCAAAACCTAACTTGGGATGATACTGATATTAAGAAAAAATATTAAACCTGTGAAGTATAACCAGAGAAACAGAAAGTATCCAAAACCTAACTTGGGATGATACTGAAGTTAAGAAAAAAATATTAAACCTGTGAAGTATAACCAGAGAAACAGAAAGTACCCAAAACCTAACTTGGGATGATACTGAAGTTAAGAAAAAATATTAAACCTGTGAAGTATAACCAGAGAAACAGAAAGTACCCAAAACCTAACTTGGAATGACACGTTAGTCGAGTTGTGCGATTTCATAAGTTATAAATAATCTTGTATGATTGTCACAAAAATCTTTAAAAACGACGAGTTTTTAGTCATTCATTTTCAAAATTGTTTTCCTATTGTTTATCTAAAGTATGCTTTATTTCAACGTAACTAATATGATGAATGTTATTATTTAATTATATGCCATTAATTAGAAATATATAGTTGCTGAATTTTGAAGGTTACGCACACAAGACGTTTTCTACTCTCTCCGAAGGAAAGTGATTTTAGCTTTCCTGTTGTATTAAGGCCTTGAAGTTTCTTCGCTTTCTGTTGATGTATATTGTAACATGTTTCACATTACAATCTACTGGATGTTCTTCCACTGTCGCAAGTGATACATCTCACTGAAAGAATTGGACATTGGGTCTTTTCAACCTGAACGATACCTTATATGACACATGGGCGAAACCGTTAGATCAGAGACTCTCTCACCCTCAAGCTTCAGACATTAGCCAGCTCTGTTTTAAAATTGTGACTAGGAGGGCAACCAACCAGAAGGACCCGCTGTGTACGATGCTACTGATAACTAAATACAGAAATTAACTGTCCCTCTTATAATGCTCCCACAGCTTGTTCAAGAGCATATCACATCTCGAACCTTGAGCTTTCAGATATGTGTCGAATGTTACATAAACCTGTAGAATCAACGCTTAATTTTCTTATGTTACAGTGAAGCACCGTTGAAAAGATACAATGGTAAAACGGTAGTGATAAGTCTTCCGGACGATAAAACCATCTATGATTATGACTGGTTTGGAGTTTGGTGTGAAGAATTCAGCGTCGACTTTGGGCACGTAAGAATCCCACACGACATCAGAGTTCCGCCCTCTCTGCATTTGCTTGGTGTGAAGTCTGAGGTATTTATTTTATTATTGTTTACTAATGATAGAAATATATAGCGTTGTATTGATAAGGAAGTGTCAAGATCTATTTAAATATCATAATTATTTGTAGTAACAAATGGGTTTTACGCTGCTTTTAATTAAATTGATTACTGAATGATATTACTTAACGTATCTGAATCACCTTTTTCTAGATGAAATCAATGAAAGAACTACTTTGTAGCTCACATCGTATATCATAATATGCAGTTCTCAGCATTTCATCACACAACTAATATTCAGATATCAACAAAACGTTTCTACGGTTACGTCTTTAAAAGTAAACAATTCAAAATGTTTCATATTTCACGCCTTAGGGTCGGACCATGTGGATATGTAAGATCCAAATACCTAGTGTTACTACTGTATATTAACACACTGTTAAACTTTTAACAAATACAAGCCAGAAATAATCTAAACCATTAACCCCTACAAACCACGAAAAATATATACCATTAATCGTTAGAAACAAATAACATTTGAACCGTTAATCAATATCTATACTGTTAACCACAACAAAGAACATATAAACCTTTAACTATATCAAGTCAATATCATCTGCACCTTTAATCACCACAAAATAAAAATAGCTAAATTTTAGCAACATAAGCCAAGTACATCTAAACCTTTAATAACTAGAAACTAAGAAAATCTAAACAAAGAAACACTTAAATCAGGAACATCTAAACTTTTAACCACCGCAACACAAGAATATCCCACAAAAACAAGAACATCTAAACCTTTAATCACTAGAAACTAAGAAAATCTAAACAAAGAAACACTTAAATCAAGAACATCTAAACTTTTAACCGCCGCAACACAAGAATATCCCACAAAAACAAGAACATCTAAACCTTTAATCACTAGAAACTAAGAAAATCTAAACAAAGAAACACTTAAATCAGGAACATCTAAACTTTTAATCACCGCAACACAAGAATATCCCACAAAAACAAGAACATCTAAACCTTTAATCACTAGAAACTAAGAAAATCTAAACAAAGAAACACTTAAATCAAGAACATCTAAACTTTTAACCGCCGCAACACAAGAATATCCCACAAAAAACAAGAACATCCAAAACTTTAATCACTAGAAACTAAGAAAATCTAAACAAAGAAACACTTAAATCAGGAACATCTAAACTTTTAACCGCCGCAACACCAGAATATCCCACAAAAAACAAGAACATCCAAAACTTTAATCACTAGAAACTAAGAAAAGCTAAACAAAGAAACACTTAAATCAGGAACATCTAAACTTTTAACAACCGCAACACCAGAATATCCCACAAAAAACAAGAAC